ACTAATAAAGGTATATCAAATTCAAATTCAAATATAACAGGCCAGTCAACCTTACGTTTCTCCTCCTCCCACAGGAGATCCGTGAGCTGCAGGCCCAGATGCAGGAGACTCAAGTCCAGATCCAGATGGACATGTCCAAGCCGGACCTGACGGCAGCACTACGAGACATCAGGGCTCAGTATGAGGGCATTGCTGCCAAGAACATCGCAGAGGCTGAGGAGTGGTACAAGTCCAAGGTCAGAGGGATGTTGTCTGTATTAACGACACTTAGAGATCAATTCTGACATCCAAGAGTTGGGGATTTAAAATAAATTGTGAAATCTATTTAACCTTTGACCCTGCAGGTGTCTGATCTGAACCAGGCGGTAAGTAAGAACAACGAGGCTCTGAAGCAGGCCCGTCAGGAGACCATGGAGTTCAGACACCAGATCCAGGCCTACACCTGTGAGATCGACTCCCTCAAAGGCACCGTAGGTCTCATAAACCTTCTTCGGTTTTTATTTAAACGTAATCTTCTCTGAGCTCGGTTTGATTTCAGACTCTCCTCTCTGATTAATCCAGAATGAGTCTCTGATGAGGCAGATGCGGGACATGGAGGACCGTCATGGACGAGAGGCCGGCAACTACCAGGATAGCATTGCCCGCCTGGAGGCGGAGATCGCCAACATGAAGGACGAGATGGCGCGCCACCTCCGTGAGTACCAGGACCTACTCAATGTCAAGATGGCGCTGGATGTGGAGATCGCCACCTACAGGAAGCTGCTGGAAGGAGAGGAGAGCAGGTAATTTATCAAACTATCCAACCAGGCCAAAATTCTTTTGTTTTAGTGTGCTGCCTTTACAATAAAGCTTTGGAAAAGAAAACTGCCTCAGAATGTCAATATTTGTATCCAGATACACATAAAATAACATTTAAAATGATATTTTCTACACTTTCCCTTCTCCCGCTGCAGGATTGCCTTGCCTGTGCAAACCTACTCCACGCTGAGTTTCCGAGGTGCACACACAGCTCCAGTTACCTAAACATACCACCAGGGGCTAGGCTTCCTTTAACCAGGACACAGGCCTTATTCTGTTTGATTCCACAGTCTGTTCAGATGGAGCCTCATTTACTGTTTGTTATACATTTCAATAATATTTTACTTTTTTACCACATTAAAACTGTGTAAGATTAAAATTTTACTTAATTAAGAAAATGGGTGTTAATTAATGAATTGATTTCTAAATCAATTAACCTACAAATTAAATACAACCCCAGTGTTATGGGGTTGTATTTAACTTGTATTTCATAGGTCCAAGAGGCATCCACATAAAGTTTTCATTGATTTTTCGAAATAACATAACACATTCTACATATTAAATAAAAATTAAATGTATTCCGACCTTTGTTAATCAGAGACCAGCCCTGAGCAGCAGCGCTCCTCTGAGATGCATTCAAAGAAGACTGTCCTCATCAAGACCATCGAGACTCGCGATGGAGAGGTAAAACTGCTAAGATATAAAACTGCATTCATTAGCCTTGTAAGTTTTTAAGTTCCCTTCATAAGGATTTTTTCTTTTGTTTGTTTGCTTTTCTTTTGATGTGATCCACTCCAGCACCTTATTCAAGAAATTCATGAAAAATGTATTTATGTTCTATAAATCACATTTTAACTTATCAAAGACCGGTAGAGCTTTATTCAACTGCACAAATGCTGCCTGGCACTGCTCTGTCCACTGGACCAGATCTGGGGCACACTTTTGAGTGAGATTAGTTACATGGCTGGTCAGCTCCACAAAGCCGGTCATGAACCGGCGGTCAGTATCTCTTTCGGGATGCCGACTCGGGAGATGATCTGAAACAGGGCCTGGAGGTGCCAGTGTTATGACTCGCTCTATGAAGCCTATCTTTAATCAATACAAATTACAGGTAGGTCAGTGCTGTGTCAGGGCAAACCATCAATTTTTATCACTTGATCAGAAGCTGAGGTTGCATAGAGTTTAGTCATGAGATTCCTCTAGTGGGAAATATCCTGTGGAGTGAATCGCTGGAGGCAGCAGGGCCTCATTAGATGGCCTCCTCCTCCTCCCTAGAGTCAGAGTTGAATAAACTAAAAGTCTCCGCTAAGCACAGCACAAACATCCCCCTTGCTAAAGCTCGTGATTGTATCCCCACACATTGCCCCAACAGGTTATTGAACACCAGCAAATCTGTACCCAGAATTAAGGGATGCCTCAGGTGCAAGCTAACTGCAGCCTTTACACCATGTGTTTTGCCCTTGTATTTAATTTGGAGCGGCACTATGGGATATTTGTGTATGTCCTCATGCACACATCTAACCTCCACCAACGCCCCGTGCCGTACCAGGGTTTGGAGGACCAGGGTCTGCGTGCAGCCCAGACTCACCCTATAGCCCGAGTCCACCAGAGCCTGGCGTATATCCACTGGCACCTTGACAGTGCATGTCCCTCGTGGACCTGGGGTAGGTGTTGGAGGGCCAGCAACACGGAACAGCTACCCCACATCCGTCAGTGGGCACTCCTAATGTCAGTGTCCTGGCCGCCCACACCTCCAACATACCTGCCTCAGCATTTGCACGGCTCCCTGTGAGTTGGGGGCAGCTTAGTTGCTGGAACCTGTGGGGAGACAGCGAGACTGGCTGTTGTGGTGGCTGCTCCATAACCAGCAAAGTTATAGTGGAGCTGGGGAACCTCCTCCTTGGGGCTGGGACCGGCCAATTCTCCACAACTGGCTGTGGTTGATCCAGCAGGTTTGCTGGCTGCACTGCCAGGTGGTTTTTGGCCAGTCATACAGCCATGTCACGGTTTACTTGACATGACTGTGTGGGACAACAGAGGAGCCAGGGGGATGCCAGACCGAGACTAGGTGCACTCTCATATGGCGCTCGGCCTAATTCTGTAGCCACTGGAGCTGATCTTGATGCACAGTCGCCTGTTCTTGGTGCACGATGGCCATCTCTGCCAGCATTGCTGTCAGCACTTCCACTGGCTGTACTGGTTGCACATCCGTCCTAGCGCATCTGGGTTTCGACAGCACTGAGACACGACGGACCAACACAAACACACTGTTAAAGAGCTGGGTAAGTATTAGTTGCAACTTTTTCAAATTGCTCTGTGCAGCTTTTCAGCCGACTTGTTTCTGGCACAGCCTTCCCCGCTACGTTACAGGTTGGCAACTGAAATACCAGGACTGATCATACCAATCAGTCCCAGCTACTCTGCCAGCCTTTTGGCACTGCCCACTGCCACACCACTCCTCTGAAGCAGAACTGCAGAAAACACTCTTGCCACACCAGCAAATGCAATTGTCCCATATTTAGACAGAAAACAGTCCATTACCTTATTTACACCTAATATTTTAGAAACTTTACATACAAATAAAGATTGCTTTAATGTAAGTAATTAACTGCTGAAGTGACTGCTGGTGTTTCTTAATCTGTTCTGTGTTCACCTGGGCTCTCTGACTGTAATCTTTCTGTCTCGACTGTTGTAGTTTGTATGGATTTGGGACAGTGTTCACTCATTTCCAGATATCTTACATTCATCCAGACAGAGAAGTCATCTGATAAGGCTTTTATGTTTCTGTCTCATGTTTTTCTCCTTCAGGTTGTCAGCGAGTCCACGCAGCACCAGCAAGACATCATGTAACAGCCTGCAGGACATAAGAAGAGAAGAAGAAACAAAAAGCTCTCATGTGTCCCTGCCTGAGACGGACACATGAAAACAATAAAGAAACAAGCAAAAGAAATAAAACTAAGAAATAAGACTTTACACACTCGTCTTTACGGCCTGCCCTGTGTTTGTTTGCAAGTTACTGAGATGTGTGTATTTAAAGCAGAAATTCATCAGGATTTATTTATTTTTGGTTAAATGTAGGTTAACATGCAAAAACTGAAAAAAGGAAAACTCTCAATTTAATCAGGAAATTTCTGTGTTTACTGACCGTTTAAGACTTTATAATCTCTAATAAATGAGCAAAAAGAATATTAAGTAGAATAGTAGTCGTCTATCAGTTGTAGTCTGCAGCTAACTGAGTTGGTCAGATGGAGAATCTTGCAACATATTCAGCTCTGAAGTTTAAAATCACTTCAGATGCCCAATAAATTACAGATTCTGACCCATGGAGCCAAATCAGAGCTGAAACTGAAAAACAAAAAGTAGAAAGTGAACGTTGAACTCCCTCCTCATGAGTATAGTTTTGATTACATTTTTAAGGAAACTATTTTTTTTCACTGATACTCATATTTGATCTTTTTTTCAGTTTCAGATTATATGATTGCAAATTTCTTAAGAAACCTGTCACATTGAATTATTTTAAGCTTCCTGCTCTTTGAGTTTCTGACCTTGATCTGGTGTTTACTGAAAGGTGGAAATGGAGGAAATAGGAACAGAACTTTACTGTATGTGTAGGATTACAAAGCAGTCTGTGAATGTGCTTAATAGACAATGGTTATTGGATGTGTGTAGCCCAAATGATGTTTAATAGGCTGAAAGCAAGTAAAGAATAAACAGTGGAGCACAATTCTCCCCAAAGGGCAAGGGCTATACTACCTATTTGATGATTTATGATGTTTTTATAACAACGTGAGGATGTCAGCCTGCTTTCATAACAACACGCTAATGTCTGACCTTTGACCTATGACCTTGAAGCATAAAATGGTGTATTTTATTATCTTTAGTCATCTGATTGGAGCTGAATTGGCTGAAATCTTTGGCTTCTATAAGCTGCACACCATGCTGAAATATGGCAAGTTTCACAAGTCCTGCAACTTCAAAAGCGTCCAACAATGAATACGTATGGACAGTGTAGGCCAGTAAAAATGCCAATAGTTAACAGACTTATTAATATTGTTTTATCATTACATCATTATAATTGAGTATCCCATTAAATGGATGTTCAAATTTACACCAGACAGTTGGAGTTTTTGTTATTTCAGCTGTAGCCCTGATGGTGTTTAATGGTCTGAGAGAAAGTAAAGAATAAATACAAAAACAGAATTCAAATGTAGGCTTAATCTACTTTATAGTCCAGAATGAGTCCCTGATGAGGCAGATGGAAGTCCCGCATCTGCCTCTAGTTTAAAGTCCACAAGTACAAATAGGAGTCCTGATTTATATGTGAATGCTTATAAAACAACAGAATGTTTGTAAAATAAAAAAAATAAAAAAACAAACAAAAGAAGAAAAATCAAGGAATAAAATTGCCAATAAGAATCTATATTTATTAC